CTTTTGAAATGTTTTAGAAGAAAAAAAACAGGACTAGGACCAGATCCGCCTTACTGAAGTCAGACTCCTTGTACTTACATTCGGAATCCGAAACAGGCTTACTTGGTCCCAAATGAAATCGAAGACGGACGAAATCCAGGAGCGTGAAGATGATGCTTGTGGTACGAGACTGTTTTTCGACAACGTTGAGGACATCGGCTCAAAAAATTCTGTAAAACGTGGGCATTCGCATCGTAAAAGTATAATAAAGATCTACAAAAGAGATCAGCCCACTCCGTAAGATACAAAAGAGAAAAAGAAAAAAAAAAAATATATATATATATATATATATATATAAACATACATATATATATTTTGTCTCCAAAGGACAAAAATCAAAGTACAAAGTCCTTTTAACAACACTACATTATTCGTAGCAAAAGTAAACGCGAGTACCTACAAAACACGCGACGCAATACATATAGGAAAATCGTAACGTTATGAAATAAATGTCTATAAAACCCCGCCAAAACCATCTTGCTCGTAAGGTACTTACAAAAATGCGTAAATATAGGAAAAGTTCGAAAATCAACAGCATGATATACGTGCATCATCTAGGATGAAAATCTCGAGAAAAATGGAATGACAATGAGAGATAAATTGGCACGCGTGGGCATGCTGGGCAAATATAGTATAGAAAAATCAATGCTAACCGAGCGAATTCAACTTCTCATGACTATTTAACTTCTTGTCGTCCATTTGCTTCGGCAAATAACGATAATCGTTGTGACGATTCACGGCCAAAGGCGTGCATCATTCATAAGAGATGTAAAAAGCTGTAAAAGTTCGTGCATATAAAGCGCAATAGTAGACAAAGTGTACGCCATAAGGGAATATTCATGAAATGGCCGCCATCTTGAAGTTATGGAGTAAAGCATCAGGTAAAAAAGCGAATACGCAAAGCATACGCGTCGAGTTTGTTTCGAACATTTATAACGTTTAATATTATACGAAATAAACTCGACGCGTTAACGATATTATTATGAATATAATTACTTACGTTGGAGAAAGTTAATGTGCTCGCTTGGTCCCCAAAATCAAGCTTGAAAACACGATATCCAAGAGCACGACGACGTGCAAACGTACAACACTTTAGTGTGACAACGACGTGGATGTCGGATCGATGCGATTGGTGAGCTCTGCTCGGTTATATTCGTTTATGGTCGTGAGCGCGACCTCTGACGAATCTAGCCGAAGGCGCACGAATATGCCCGATCTACGCTCAAATCACCGAGCCATTGGTAAATTCAAGGGAGGATCTTTATTTTACTACCTTATGAACTTTATACAAGACGAATTCTTATCAAAAATATAAGAAATATTATCTAATCTATTTTATTTTTTTTAACGGTTACCATGATTCCTAAGAATAGATGTATCTAATGTTTCATTATCTTTCTATAATTACATTGATATGATTATGATCGTTAACAAAACAATTCCGCGATACTTCTATTCAAAAAAGGAACAATTAAAGGTATAGATAATATATATATATGTGCACACATGATTCACCAATAGAAAATACGTATACTATTTTACACATATACGATTTGAACAACGTTCGAGACAAGAATCGAAATAAGCATATATCGAAAGTGTCATATCTCGAAATTTAAATTCAGTTAAATAAATTGAAAGTATGAATGAGATAAAAAATTTATTTTGTAACTGATAAAGACGTCTTCGTTCCATGATTAGTCAAAAAGAATAATCTCCGAGACGAAATATTAACAAATCACGGATACCGTGCGTGTCGAATGAATTATATCGACAGTAAAATTCTAACCTCTAATCAATGGAAACAAATATCTACATAATCTAGCACGTGTAAAAAATTAAAAATATATTCGACAACTTAGATATGGGTCCATGTGTTTTACGAATTCTATTAAGGTCAATAAAAAATAAGTAAGTAAATTTATCGTCGTCAAAATTATAACTAACGCTTAAAATTTTGAATAAAATAACACGCACCTGTACCCAGATTAGGCTTCTAAGAATATCTGACAATCCGGATCGAATCAGATTGAATAGATTCCATAGCATATTCGCAATTAATCGTATGCACGTTTAATTAAACAGGAAAGCACAACTCATAAAGTATAAACACTAGTGTTCAGAACGAGTTGATGATCTGGCTGCGTTATCATAGATGGCGCTAACCACACGTAAGATTAACTACTTCAATAACAACCAGCATCTTTATCGATAAGTACTTTTAATTTTGGCGGTTCGACGTTTGCACGTCAAATAACAAATTATGTTTTTTTTTTTTTTGCAATAAATGTTCTAATAAAAAATACCACAATATAATATCTGATTGATCTTACAAAATTATGCCTATAACGCTTTTTGATTGAAGCAACTAATTGTAAGTTAAGAAGAAAAAAAAATAGTTGCTTAGAATAAAACTCACGTAGTGCTTTTATGACAGTATTTCTTGATCTTGTACCGGACATAGCAAAAGTATTATATAAGGGGGGAAACCTACAAAATAAATTAATAAATAATAATAATAATAATAATAATAATAATAATAATAATAAAAATAAAAATAATAAGAAGAAGAATAAGAATAAGAATAGTAATAATAATAACGGTAATAATAAGAAGAAAAAGAACGATAATAATAATAATAATAGTAAAGGAGAAGATAAATGTATTTTAAACACAAGACCGTTAGGAGAAAAATACAAACGGGTCATAACATCAGTAAATATTTAATTGATTCTATATAAGTTTTACCTGGTTTAAAGTTATAAATTCAGAACGATCGAAGATAAACCGTTGTGTCGTCGCCATGGAAATTGATCTCGATAGATCAGGCCATAGGTTAGCGCGCCTTTTCTGAAACATATTCAAATAGTTTCCATATTGTTGCAAAATTAATCATTTAAAATTGCATTACGAATTTGTCATAAAAAATATATATATACGTGAGTGAATTGAAACATAACATAAAAACAATTTTGTTTCGGTTAAACTTACTTTTATTTTTTGTCATGGTATCGAAACTTTGAAAAAAGAATAAGCTCAAAACTTTTCAAGTCACCCTCGTATATAAAAAGAATTATCGACTACTACGTAAGTCGTTCGATCATAATTTGGAAATCATTTAGATCGTGTGTCAACAATTGTCATTCTTCTATCTTTAACTTTTGAGAGAAGACAGCTAGGAATATTTGGTATGATTCACGTCCATACTTTTCTCTGTACGATTAATTAATAAAATAACAAACTTTAACATTTGTTTTCTGTTTCTTTTTCATAAACATAATATAATATACAAATAAATGATTTCGATAGAAAACTCTGTAATAATATTTGGTAAATTTCAGTTATGAAAAATCGAAAGTCGATAGATGCAAAAACATAACTTTTGCATCCGTTACACCCACACGTGACAGAAACTGGACTTGCGCCAATCACGATGCGGCTCAAGCAAATATGCTCAATCGGCGGGTTAATAATTTGACCGCATTCGCAGTAATGGGGTCACGAAATTAACGCAAGTTTTCAAATCCTCTGCTACGAAATAAACAACAAATTAAAAAAAAAAAAAAAACATAAAAGAAAAGCCAGGGTAAGTTATTTCATTTGAAATTAAATCGTTTGATAACTTGCATGCACAAAATTCTTCGATTCCAGCAGCGTACCACGTTAATTTGTCTTCCATGTTTATAGGTAAAAATAAAAATAGAAAAACAAGCCGCCACAAAAGAAAAAGAAAAATCTCAATATAATTCAAATGTTTATTTAATTAATATAATTAGTATAAAACTTACAAAAATATCGTCTTGTCACGCGTAACGTTCGATGCGCCATTCACTCGATTGCGGAAAATTCTGACGAGGGAAAAGCTCGTGAAGCACTATAAATGAAAGATTCATAAGAGAATTATTTGACGTACCTGTACCGTGAAAGACAAGAAACTTTGAATATTCTTCGTTCGAATGGATGACGATCGGGAAATATTATAAAAGCTCTTCGATGTCAAACGGAGAAAGATTTGTGGCGCGGATCGCGCGCCCATCTTAATCACTTCTCTAGGACTCACCGAGCATGGTAGTTGCTTGCAGTGTTTCATCGTCTTGGCGCAAGCGCGATGACACAACCTACCCTAGGTAGATACATATGACCTTCAGTGGCCACAGAGGAGAGGGTGAACAAATTTGAACCACATTTTTCTTTTTTTTTTTTCAGCACACCCACGTTAGAAGAAATATCGTGACGTTTATGCAGTAAAAACCTTGACTTTTTATATATTTATAAACTTTGATTAATTATTTATTTCTTTGATAACGATCATTAATACGATCGTAGAGATTAATATTAGGATAATATGATCGATGAGAAACTGTATTATTTCAATGTACATATTAAATATACGTCCTCGTGCTATAAATATAATACCTATTAGCGGTAATTTTGAAACGATCAAATATTTGAGAAGAAATATACGTGTAAAAAAACGATCTATCGATATATATTCTAATCGAATTAAATTTATATTCAAATATATATATATTTGAATATAAATTTAATTCGAT